CGGTGGACTAAGAGCTCAGGCGGTGGAGAGGAGAGTTGAGAGAGTGGAAGTCGAAGGAGAGGAGAGTCGAGAGACAGAGGGTTGGACTTTGGAATGTTGAGCTTGGGCGGCTGCGACTTGCGAGATTAGGAAGTCTTATAAATGCTGAAACATTTTTAACCTAGGTAATAAACGGGTAACAAATGGGTTATATAATCGTGTTAATAGACTATATAGTATTATGATTTGGACGATTAAGAAAAAGGTGTGGTGAAGAAGATTATTAATTTACTTTATCAGAAAGAACATTGTCTTAATCGTTAGATCAATTTTTCAACGTTTGATTTGGAATGTAAGAATAATTTTGTATTACGTGCCTGTAAATCATTAATACAAATATGTATATATCTAATCATTAAAAATTAATTTAATAGTTAAAAATAACAGATGATGTCAGTAAAGTAAAATAACTCCTTTCACTATAAAAATTAAAAAGAAAAGAAAAGAACCTATTATATATATATATATATATATATATCAAGGCGTTTTGATTTAAATTTTAAACATTAATTTATAAGAGAGAGATGTATAGAGAGAAATTTATGGCCGCAACTAGAAGTAGGTGGCAATATTGCATATTAATTCCTTTATTTATTGTGTAACATTAAAATCCATGTAATAACGGTGGATCGAGAGAGAGTCAGAAGTACTACTGCCTCTTGCCATCATAGATGAATCATGATCACAACACGCTTTTTTTTTTTTTCCTACTCAAAAAAAGAATTTAATAGTGTACTTTATGTCTCTTAATCCTTGCGACATAAAAGCAATTGAGAGACCTCGAATATGTAAAAAAGCCTGAATTAGTAACCAGTTTTTATTTCTCTCCATCAGGCCCACTCAATTTTCTACGAGAGACAAAACAGCAACGTACGAGTATAAAATATCAAATTATGAGAGAATAAATAAAGAAGATCTAATAAAGACATTCTTATTATTACACCACGACCATGGTCATAACACACTTTTTCTGTCTTTTTGTAAAGCTACCATTTGCTTTTTGAAACACACTTTCTTCCTAAATTTGATATTGACATGCATGGTTGATGGTTCGATGGTAGCAGTAGCATATCTCCTTTTTTTTTTTTTTATCATCATCGTGTTAACTTTATTTTTTTTATTTTTTATTTAAATCAATTTTATTTTAATAGTCTCTATTATATCAAAATATGAGTTTAATACTTTATGTTTTTTAATAATTTCATACAAATATTTTAACGTTTTACAAAAGATTTTTTTATTACTCTAAAGCTCTTTTTGAGTTGTGAAATGTCAATTTTACCATTATATTAAGAAGACGTTTTGTTCATGTATTAAAATAATGTGATTAGAATAATTTTTAATTTATGTGTATTTTTTATGAGAGAAAACACTATAACAAACAATGAATTATGATTCAAATCATGATTTGAATTCTCAAACCAAACATCCTCTAAATTTGCTTCATAATTTATTTTTACAAACATATTAAAAATATTTTTAAGAAACAATAAAATAGGAAAAAAAAACACACACACACACGCTGACACACGTCACCAGATCGCCAAAACCAAAACCAAGCTGCAAACATATCTATCAAAATAAAAACCAATTTCACTTATCAAAACCCAAATCTACCAAGAACGCATCAAAATCAAAACGATCAAAACAAAATAGATCTACCCGCAACGCATGATCTAAACAAGCAGTTCAAAAACACTAAGAACTAACAACAGTGGTTGTGTGGGGCAAGAACCAGATCTGAAAATCCATTATCCACATATCTAAACAAACTCTAAGATCTCTCTCTCTCTCTCTCTTCTCGGGAGCGGCTGGCGATGGAGCTTTATGAGCTGCTGTTGGGACTCACCTCCGCCTCCGGCAGCGGCCCAGATCCGGATGCGACGACGCAGCTCTTTCCCACTCTTCTCGGGAGTGTTGCCGCCGATCTGGAAGAGCTCGACCAGATCATGGAAGTGGCCATGGAGTTAGGATTCACTTCCGCCTCCGGCAGCGGTCCAGATCGGAATGCCACGGCGGCATCTCTCTCTCTCTCTCCTCGCTGGTTTCATTCGATCCCTACAAGTGGAGTCACCGATGGGGATGAGTTTCATAGTCGCCGGAAGGGGCCGGAGACGAAGATAGGAAGGGGAATATGAATAACCACGATCTTTTTTTTTTGTTTTTCCTATTTTATGGTTTTTTAAAATATTTTTAATATGTTTGTAAAAAATAAATTCGTGCAATGGTGGAATTGACATTTCACGTTTAGGGAATATTTTTTTAAATGTTGAGATATTCGCATGAAATTATTAAAAACACAAAATATTAGATTCATATTTTGATATAACAGATGATACCAAAATAAAAATTTTCTTTTTTATTTTGTTTATAATAAAGGCAATGTTATTTTTTCCATGTGTTTTAATAACAAAAGTAGTTTCCTCACATACCAATTTTGTTCATGTAATCCATTTTTTTGAATTGATTATTAACTGTGTGCGCTAATTTTTGACTAGATTTGTTTTTAGATCGTATCGCTTGGGTTTGTTCTCAGTCAACTAGTTTTATCTATTGACGTAATTATTTCTAATGAGCTTAGTTGCGCTTGATTTTGTATTTGTCGAGTGAGTCTTTTCCCTTTCTTCATTGGTGAATCAGTCAATATCTGGGTTTGAACTCTCTTATAATTGGTAGTTATTTGTGACTATTTTTAAGTACGTAATTTGTTAAATTTGAAATGATTTTTTTTTAAATGAAGGATCCAAATTTAGAAAGTAATCAGTTTGCTTACACGATTGAAAAATTATTTTAAATAAAGTAAGCGTAGCGTGGTTAATAAAAATAATGGGTTTATTTACAAAATAATAATAATATATATATAATAATAATAATAATAATAATAAAATAAACATGCATTTGATAAAAAGCTAGTTCCTCCATATTTTTTAGGGGAGAAAATTTAATTATGCGGGTATAAAGTAGGAGATAACTTTTCAAGGAACAATTCTTAATTTGTAGGTGGAGTCTGCCTTATTTGTTTCGTTATTCAAATAGAAAGATGTGAGAAATTGGATTTGCTCATTATAATCTGAATAAGACGCATGCATGGAAATGGACTATGCTATTAACAATTCATATTCCGTAAATAGTCATCTATCATGTCAAAAACAAAATATAATGTAATGTGAGTCAACTTACACTTTGGGAAAATGGCATTGCATGTTTATTGTGGGAGTAATTCTATGATTATATTTTATTATTATGGCTAAAGTCGAAATATTCCTCATTCAATAGTAACACTATGTTTAGTATGATGGAAAAGTGGAAGGAATGAAGTGTATAGAAGGATTATTGGATGAAAAATAACAGAGTTGGTTGTTTGATAAGAAAGATGAGATGAGGAAAAGAAAAATATGATGAAAAAAAATTATAGTAGGGTCCACCATTTTTTATCTCTCTAACATTAGGAGGAAAACTCAAATTCACTTATTGATGGGTAAATTTACTTTTGTGTCCTTATTTTAATATTTAAATTTAATATTAAATAATTAATAAAATAGTCATTTAAGCTATTACATTTTTTTTTTCTCATCATACCAAACACTATAAAAGGAAATCAATTTCATTCCTTTTCTTTACATTTTTTTTATGTGTTTTATTTCTATTCACTTTTCTTTCTCTCATACTAAACAGAGTGTAAGTTATGGTAGCCGTCATAGGTAAGGTAAATAAATACTTGATTTCAAATTGAGGTATAGAGTTAAAATCTTACACCTTAATTTTTCATAAAGTTAGAAAAGAAAAACCCTCATACAAAAGTGTGTGTTCAATGACGGAGCTAAGGGGCGGAGGGGGCCGTGGCCTCCTAACTTTTTTATTTTTATTATTTTTTTAATATGATAGTTTTAATTTTAATATAATAGATACGTGTATAAATTAGATTTGGTCTCTTATAAATTAATAGTTCTCTATATTTTATTGGACTAACTATTTAAATTAAAAAAAATAAAATATTTAATTTTATTAAGTCCATAAACATTAGTATAATCTTGATAATTTTTTTTTTGGACTCCCTACTGATAAATTCGGGCTCCATCATTGTGTATTGTCATTTTTTTTTAGGGATATATATATGTCACATTAATTAATATTTATAATTATACTAATAAAATGATAACTCACTAGTAAATTGATATGTAAAAATTAAATTAAAATTGAGATTTTAATCTCTACCCTTAAAAAAGGGTACTACGTGACATAAATGGAACGAGACACTTGGGTGGTTATCCAAATGTTTTCAAACGTTTTAATTTATTGAGTTTCGTCATTTCACGTGACGTGGGCAAATAGTAAGCCACGCCGCTTGCACATATGGTCATTTTCCGGACAGTTGAACATCATTTAATTTATGTCCAAATTTTTTAACAGCTAGACTGTACACTTGTAAGTGTAAGATAAAAGTAGATGCATTTTTAATGATCACTTTAATATTTATTTATCAGTACGTATTTTTATATTAATTAATAATATTAAATTATTTTCACGTTATATTATTAAATTTTCACACGGAGAGAAAGATAACTATTGAAAACTCTCTATAAATCGATTGAATATATATAGCACTAGCTAGTCCAATACTTTATCTATTCCGATGATATCTACTATCACATGTTAGCCTCCAAAGGGTTGAATTCAATAATATTAATCTCCTTCTTTTGTCAAAATAAACGAACAAATAAATTGAAAGAAACGACGGTCCCAAAAGTTGTCAATTAGTGACTCTTCAATTAATTTAGTTGCATTTCATTTTCTTAGAAACACACACATGACACAATACAATAACTATAAACTACAAATTTAATTATTTTTGGGACCGACACTAATTTCTCACAAAAGTCTTAAAAAAATTAAATAAGTTAATTTCTCTCTCTTTAAATGCCTTCTCCAATTAGCCCTTTAAAGATATCATACCACAAAAAGAACAAATTTTTGTTGTAAATTTTTCCACTTGGCGTACCAAAAACTTGTGACGTACACTTTTATTTTCTTCCTTGACAATAACTATTGCCATAATTACCAAGAATGGTGTCGCCGGACAACGTCGGAACCCCGATCACCGGCGTGAGGATCTCCACCGTGGTGCCGGGAAGAGTGAGGGGAGATGCCAGCGAAGACCATGAGTTGACGAACATGGACTTGGCCTTGAAGTTGCATTACATCAAAGGAGTTTACTTCTTCAAGAGTACTAGTAGTGCTGATCATGACCAATTAGTACTATCCGTGGCGGAGATGAAGAAGCCGATGTTCCCACTGCTCGATCAGTTCTTTGTCACCGCTGGGAGGATCCGGAGATCTGACGGTGCCGCTGGCCGGCCATACATCAAGTGCAACGATGCCGGCGTACGGATTGTTGAGGCTTTTTGTGAGAAGACAATAGATGAATGGTTGGCTATGGCTGATGAATTTGGTACTACATCTAATAATTGTAAGAATTTCAACCAAGGGCTCTGTTATGACCATGTTCTTGGTCCTGATCTTGGTTTCTCACCTCTAGTTTATTTTCAGGTACGTAACTTGCTCTTCTTCTATACAGAAATTATAGAAAAAAAGAAGAAAGTTGAGAAATAATTTAGAAAGAAAAGTAGCGTGTATTTAAGTGAAAAAATAATCACTAAATATATTTATAACCTAATAAACTCTGATAACAAATTAAATAAACAATACGTACATAATTATCGAATGAACTTATTCCAAATAATTATTTTAATTGGTAAACACTGCATATTTTCAACTTCTCATTATTTGGATTTTGTTTAATTCCTCGTCAGTACATACATATGTATTTATGTATGTGTATATCATGTGTGTTTATTTGGATAAATAAATAACTATATGTAATTGTATGTTTAACACTGTAACTATGCATTTATTGTAGACAGATGTTTTTTTATTTCTTTTTTAGCGTGTAAATGGGTTATTGTTCTTATTATATATCTAGAATAAAATACAGCGCATGCAGATTTCAAATTTCATATTTTCAACTTCTCATTATTTGGATTTTGTTTAATTCCTCGTCAGTACGTACATATGTATTTATGTATGTGTATATCATGTGTGTTTATTTGGATAAATAAATAACTATATGTAATTGTATGTTTAACACTGTAACTATGCATTTATTGTAGACAGATGTTTTTTTATTTCTTTTTTAGCGTATAAATGGGTTATTGTTCTTATTATGTATGTATGTATGTATGTAATCATGAAAGTAGATGTATCTATTTTATGAAGTTCTTTATTCCACGATTAATTAAGTTCAAATTAAGAATTAGCACGCGTATAATTGAAAGGTATATATATATATATATGTATGTATGTAATCATGAAAGTAGATCTATCTATTTTATGGAGTTCTTTATTCCACGATTAATTAAGTTCAAATTAAGAATTAGCACGCGTATAATTGAAAGATGTAGATCCGACTCATAGCTGTGGTTCAAAATTGTTCAGAAAAAAAAAAAAAAAAGTAGAAAAGGTTTGGGGAAGATGTGGCACTGCTTGGCCGGCGAGAAAGCTCGAGAGAAAGCATCGCTTTCATTTGGAGAGTCACAAAATACAAATTTATGAGTTACATTAGCCTAACTTCACTAATTGTCCCACCTAAAATAGTTTTAGCTAAACTTATACAGAAACACAATTATGGCGTATTAGCAGTTTTTGTATTTTGTTGTTAGGTCGTATTGCCGCGTATCTAGCTTGGATAATACCTGAAGATATGGTGTGTGTGTTTTTCTTCTCTTATGAAGAAAGTGAGGGTTTTTTTTTTTTTTTTTTTTGGTTATTATCTCAGCGATAATATGTGTAATTCAAGCTGATATCACTTTTGAAGTCTAATTATTCACTTTTATTACTTTTAAGTGTAAATTAAACTTAAATTATTTAAAAAATAAAATACTCGAATACAAACTTTTTTAAATTGTTAATTGAAACTCTAATTCACCCACTAAAATCGCATGCTTCTCATGTATTATTTTGAACCTTCTTATGGAGTAGTCCAGTAGCCATCCCTTAGTGTTCAAACAGTTAAAAGTTGTGTTCATTTCGCTAGTTGAAATCACAACTCAGGTTTTTATTACAGTTTTTTCTCTTATAAAAATTTAAATTCAACCTTTTCGGTTAGACTGTTACAGTATTTTCTCTCACATGAATTCACTTTTTAACTTAAATTTTCAACTCGAAAATAACAGAAATATACTACTTACTGCTAAATGTGTTCAAGTTTCAACGTGCATGACATTGATATGTTGCTTCTAACTAACCAGTTCACCTGTTTTTTTTTTTCCTCGGACCAGTTCACTTGGTTTAAATGTGGAGGATTGTCCGTGGGCCTCAGTTGGGCTCATCTGCTCGGAGATGTACTATCTGCTTCAGCCTTCATTAATACATGGGCCAAGATCATGGCTGGTCACGTGCCACAAAAGAATATCCACGTGCCAAGTTGTGGAAAATTACCTAAGGATCCCCCACCACGTTTGGCAATTTCCAAGAAACCATTTTCACTGAAAGAGCTGGACCTAGTAGGGAACCACTGGTCAGTAACTGCCAATAACTGCCAAAGCATGAGGACTCATTCCTTTAGGGTCACCTCCAAACAACTTGACCTCTTGATGTCAAACACATGCGGTAAGAAAGCGGCCAATTTTTCCCAGTTTGAGATACTCTCCGCAGTGATATGGAGATCCTTGTCCCGGATAAGAGAAAGCAAGGGGCCGAAGATTGTGACAATTTGTTGTTATGATTCCCGCCGCCGCGGCGTGGAAAATGAAATTCCCAGCAACAAGGGTATGGTGCTGAGCACGGTGGAAGCGGATCTCGAGGCTGATATTTCAGAATTAGCGTTTTTAATTTCGGAGAAAAGGACAATCGAGAATGACGCAATTGAAGAGATGGTTAAAAAGGAGAACAATAAATTTGACTTTTTTGTGTACGGAGCAAATCTAACGTTTGTGAATTTAGAAGAGGTGGACATTTATGGGTTGGAAGTGAAGGGACAAAAGCCAACGTTTGCAAGCTACACTATTGATGGGGTTGGCGATGAAGGTCTTGTTTTGGTGCTCCCGGCAGGGCCAAAATATAGTGAAGAGGACGATGCAAATGGGCGAACAGTGACTGTGGTCTTGCCCAAAGACCATATTGCACGTCTTGAAAATGAGCTCAAAGCACATTGGACTATCACTTAAAATGGTGTCATAAAAGTTCCTTTCAATATGAAAGAAAACAATGTTATTCATATTATTAATGATGTTTAGTCTTGGCATCAAAAATTGCACGATAGGTGGTGTTGAATGCTACTAAATTAGTATTTGTAGAAAAGTTTATTTGATTTATGCTGTCGCCTTAATTAAGGGAGTATTGTGAATCGATTGTTTATGTGTTAAAATCATACACTGTTAATTAATAAACCAAATGTACTAAGTTTAATTTACAAAGACGAATCACTCTTAAGTGTATGGTTTGTATTTTGTATGCATGTTGTAATTATTAATTTTTCCTGTTTATTAATCCAAATGTACTAGAGAGTGTAGACCTGTCTGAGCTCAATTCACCTACATGGACCAGTCATCAACTAACACCAAAACATAAGACTTTGTTTGGTTGAGCAGTAAGACTGGCTTATTCTTCTAGATAAAGTCTCGAGTTCGAATCAATCTCATATCGCTATAGAAAAAAATCGAGAATGGAGAAAAATGACATCTTCTTCTGAATGAATAATCTAGGTATTTATAGAGTTATAATTACAATTAAAATATTAAAAAGAAAAAACTAGATAATGTGTAACTTAACTAGATACAATAAAGAAACTAGATAATGAGAACTTAACTAGATAACAAGGAGAGAAAGGAAATCTAAAAACTGAATATTTACAAAATTTAAATGAATAAATTAATTAGAATTAATATCTTCGTTATGCCCCAGCAAGATGGAGCTCCTAGAGGAGAGGCCAATTTTGTCCTTCAAAGATAACAATCGCATCCGTGGTAATGATTTGGTGAGAACATCCACCAACTGATCTTCAGAAGAAACATGAGCAACTCGAAGAGCACCACTCTGTACGATCTCGAATAAAATGATAATCAAGTGCAACAAGTTTCATACGAGAGTGAAAAATTATATTAGAACATAGATTGGTAGCACCGACGTTATCACAATAGATTACTAGTTGTTGGGGAAGAGTAACACCAAGTTCTGTGAGAAGAGAACATATCCAACTTAACTCAGCAGCTGTGGCAGCAATGAAACGATATTTGGCCTCAGTAGAAGGACGAGCAACTGTTTGTTACTTTTTAAAACTCTAGAAAATAGGATTACGACCAAGGTAAATATGATAAGCACTAGTGGAAGTGTAGTGCGTGTTTAGAACCATTTTTGAAAATGGTTTTCACATATTTCGATAAGTAAAAAATGAAAATGAAAACGAAAGGTCGTTTGTTTAGCAAACGTTTTGAAAACGAAAATGAAAATGAAAACAATGAGAATGGTTTTACTGAAGGAATTAGAAAACAGTTGAAAGTTGTTTTCACTATTCTGTTTTCATTTTTTAGTACTTATCAACAATATTATAATATATTAATTAATAAACACGATTTTACTTTTTTATTATACTAAAAACAATCTCTTAAAAAACTAACAAAACGCAATTTTAGAATCAGTCCCAGAATGATTCTCAAAACAATCTCATTTTTACTTTTTATTGAAAATAAAATCATTTTGAAACCAATTCCAAACGCACCTGTAGTCATCCTTGTTACCTGCCTAATCAGCATCAGAGAAAGCATGAAGTGCCAAAGAAGAATGGTGATATAGAATCACACATTGATTAGGAGTCCAACAAAGGTAGAGCAATAATCGCTTGGCAGCATTCCAGTGATCACTAGTAGGACAATGCATAAACTGGGAAAGTTTATTAACTATACAGGCAATATTAGGCTGAGTGAGCGACAAAAACTGCAAATTGTCAACTATGGTCCGGTACTCAGAAGGATAAAAAAGGGCTGTACCAGAATGAATAGTAAGTGTAATAGCAGTAGCAAGTGGTGTAGTAACTGGCTCTACATCTGTCATACGAGTACAAGCAAGAAGATCAAGAATATACCTTATTTGAGACAGAATCAAGTCCTTGGCATGTGGAAGAACCTCAACACTAAGAAAATAAGTCAAGGACCCTAGATCCTTGAGAGAAAAACGTTGGGCAAGAAGTGTGACAAACTTCTAAACGGCCCCGTCATCACTACCTGTGACAATAATATTATCAACATAAACAAGGAGATAGAGCAAGGTACCACCTGTATTGAAGACGAAAAGGGAAATGTCTACATGAGAATTGACAAAGCGAGTAGTAACAAGAAACTGGCGTAACTTGTGATACCAAGCTCAAGGTGCTTGCTGAAGACCATAGATAGCTTTACGCAACTTGCAAACATGTTGAGGATGATCACGATCAATGAACCCCGGAGGTTGAGCCATAAATACATCTTCACTCAACGTACCTTGTAGAAAGGAGTTGTTGACATCAAGTTGTCAGAGAGACCATCCTCGACTTACAGCAAGACTAAAGACAAAGTGATGACTTACAGCAAGACTAAAGACAAGGTGAACAGTGGTTGGCTTCACTACCAGACTAAAGGTCTCATTATAGTGCATTCCTGGGCGCTGATGAAATCCCTTAGCTACTAAGCGAGCTTCATATAAGTCAATAGAACTATCAGGTAAGCGTTTAATTCTAAAAATCCACTTCTATCCGACAATATTTTGTGTTAGTGAGGAGGGAACAAGTTCCCACGTCCCATTCTAAATGAGAGCATCATATTCCTAGGACATGGCCTGACGCCACTTGGAATCTTCGAGGGCTTGGGTGACGATGGAGGCTTTTGTATGGGTTTGAAAATATTTTGTTGAGTTCGGGTGACAATATTACGTGTAAAAGTGAAAGCAGGATCAAGATGTGAGGTAATTGGAGAGGTAAGGTCGGATGAGGTTGGAATTTAGAGGGTTGGGTTGGAGTTTGGGGGTGCTGCCATGCTAGGTACTGGGCGCTGTGACGCCGTGCTCTCGGGTCCATAAAATAGTGCTGGTCTCGGGTGGGCGCCGCGACACTGGGTGATGGGTGCCGCGGCGCTCTGTTGGGAGGTGTGTTTGGCAAAAGAAAAATAGTGGGAGATGAGAAGGATGGTGCCAGATCTACACACAGAGTGTTTGTAGATGTCGAGGCAGCGTAATCGAGACTCAGGGATGATGTGTCGATAACCGGAGGCGAAGACATATGATTTAGCCATTGTAAGAGAGTGTCGAATTGTGGACGATCTAGAGAAGGATTGATGGAGATATAAGGAAAAACTGACTCAACAAACTTGATATGACGAGAAGTATACACTTTGGACGTAATTGGATCAAGGCATAAATAGGCACTTTGAGTTAAGGAATAACTAAGGAAGACACACAGAGACGACCGATGAGCGAGTTTGTGAGGAGAATACGGACGAAGCCACGGATAACAAAGTCACCCAAAGACACGAAGCTTGGAATACTTTGGGGGAGACTGAAACAAGAGATGATATGGAGAAGAGAGACGAAGCATTAGAGTGGGCATGTGGTTAATGAGATAGACCGCAGTGGAAAACGTAAGACCAATAAGACAAAGGCATGGGCGCATGAGAGAGAAAAGAAAGACCAATTTCAACAATGTGATGATGACGACGTTCAGAGTACCCATTATGTTCCAGTGTGTGAGGTGGAGTAGTGAGGTGAGATATGCCATGAGTAGCAAGGAAGTTTGAAAGTGCTCACTGTCCGAGTATAATGTAATAATTTTCTGATTGAAACATTTTTCAACAAGTGCTTTAAACGGAATAAAGGCATCGGAGACATGTGATTTTTTTTAATGGATAGAGCCATATATATTTGGTGAAATGGTCAACAAAGATTACATAATATTTATAGTCATCAATGGAATAAATAGAAGAGGTCCAAACTTTCAAGGGGAGAAGAAGACACAAGAAAGGAAACAAAGAAAGTTAATTTGTGGCTTTTATTGCATTGACAAGCATTACAATTGAAATCAAGAGACATAGGAGTTGATAATTATAAATTAAAATTTGAGATAATATGCCTAAGAATTGAAGATGACGGATGACCTAAATGTTGGTGCCACTCGGATGAAGTGGTCTTGACACTAGAAAATTCTATTAAGGGTGAAGACTTGGTAGAATAGGCTGGTCATTCATACACACCATCCTTAGTCTGATCCCGCAAAGTATTGCCCTCGTGCGAAGATCCTTCATATGAAAAGAAGTGGGTAAGAATTCAATATAAGTGTTATTAGAGTGACAAAATTGTGAGATAGAAATAAGATTCTTTTGCATAGAAGAAACACAAAGAACATTATTTAAAGAAAAGATTTTATTTGGAGTGGAAAGCGATATAGAACTTGTGTGAGTGATAGGTAAACTTGTGCCATTGTCAATCACAACGTCATCAGGACCGTCATAAGGAGTATGAAGAGAGAGATTGCTCAAGTCGATAATGACATGGTCCGATGCTCCACTATCAAGAAGCCAACGTTTGCCAGATGTGGTGGTGGTGGTGGCAATATTTGCTCGAGGACGCCATTGTGTCGTCGATGGATGCGGTTGCCAAGAGGGAGCGGGGCGAGGTGTCAGAGTGGAAGTTAGAGTCAACGGCAATAGCCGAAACAAGGGGCATTGTTGAACGGTATGCCCTTGTTCATGGCATCCTTAAAAGCGTCCCAAGTAGGGCCTAAGAGGAGGACGACCACCCCGAGGGACCACAACAAGAGGAGCGACGCTTGGTGGGGAAGGGCGTTGTGGACTGGGTCGGGATCGGCTTGGGTTGGCAGTTGCCGGCAGTGGAGAAGAGGAAGATTAAGAGATGCAAAGAGAGAGCTCCTTGTTGATAAGTTTCTCATGGAGTTCATCAAAAGAGATAGTTGTGTCACGACCATTGATCACATCAACAATCGGTTGATAATTTTCATCGAGACCATCGAGAATTTTCTCAATGAGATCACCATTGTTCATAGGCTTGCCAAGAGCCACAAGCTCGTCGGCACGACTCTTAATAGATTGCATGTATTCCAAAATTGTCTGAGAACCCTTGGTGGCATTCTAGATTTGCTCCTTAATTTGTTTGATATGGCCACGAGAGGGTCGAGCATAGGTATTGGTGAGAGCATTCCACGCATCACGGGAAGTGGAGGATTGTGTAATGAGGGGAATGAGAAGTGAGGGTGGCGGCTCGGCTACAACATATGGTGGGTGCGGCTGCAGAAAAGTGAGAGTTCGACGGCGGCGAGGTGTGGTATCGTTTGGAGATGCGGCAACTGTGAAGAAAATTCGTTGACAAGCACTACGAGAATTGCTCTGATACCATATAGAAAAGAATCAAGAAAGCAGAAAAATATGGCATC